TCTCTGCAATATGGGCCTCTCTGAAGTCTTCCATTCTTTTTTTCAGACCCAGCTAGGATCGTATGATGGTTGCTTTAAATTCTCCATCAGGCATATTACTTATATCTGTTTTACTTAGATCTATGGCTATGACCATAACTTTTTGTTTAATTTCAGATATTTCCTCAATCCTGGCATTTTCTCTAACTCTTTGTCCTCTCTGTGTTAGGAAAGCCTGTTGTGTTTCCTGTACCTGGGAGTAATGGCTTCATGAAGAAGAGTCATAGAGTGTCTAGGTCTCTAGTGTGTGCTCTTGTACTGTGCTGCTGTGTTTTGGCTGCTGTATCCCTCAGGCAATCCTCTGCAGAGGCTCTCCTTGCCTACTGTGGGCAGTGTTTAGACTTGAGCCAGAGGGTGGTGAATTTTAACTAGGACCTATGTATTCTCTGGTCAGCTTATTAAATGAGACCTGATGCTTCTTCCACTAGAACTGAAGCCTTGAAGAACTGTCTGCTCAGGAGGCATGGTGTGGGCAGGATTTGTGCTGGTACTCTGAGGAAGGAGACGGCCATGCTGGGATTGAGGCATATTTGATGGAGCAGGGCAGTTGAGGCAAAGCACAGGGGTGGGTGTGGAATCTGGTGTAAGCATGTTAAGCAGCCAGCCAGTGTCAGCACTGTGGTGTTTACTAAAGGTAACTTTTGTGTTTATGCTGAGGGATGGGAGAGCAAAATGGCACCAGCCACTTCTTTTTCTCCAGAGAGGGGTCTCCATACCTGCTGTTCTCAGGGAAGCACTCCCGGTAGAGTCAGTAGTCTCCTGATATTTTTCAGATCATCATTTTCATGCGGTTTGCCTCTGGGTTTGCTTGTCTTCTCTCCAGGAGCATTTCAGTGCCCTCTGGGTTCTATCCCAGCCAAGCCTGCTGACTTTTACAACACCAGGCTTTTGGGACATGGTGTGGGGAGGGGCCTGTACTGGTCTTCAGGGGAAGGGTCTCACCTCACTGGGACTGATGCAGGTTTCAGTGAGAAGGGCAATCACATCAGAGTGCAGGGGTGTGGGGCTTGGAGCAAGCAGGCTGGGCAGTCAGTGTTGTGGTCAAGCTGCCCTTGACAGAGGACTCTATGCCTATTCTGAAGGGTAGGAGAGGAAAAGGGTGCAAGTGCTTTTTTATCACTATAGAGGGTTCTCTGTGAATGCATCTCTAACTGAAGTGCTCCAAGAAGAGTAAACATCCCCCCAACCCACTATGTGCCCCAGGTCTTCTTGGAATTAAACCAACTGCCCTCAGGGAGTTTGCCAGCCTTCTCCCCCAGAACAGAGCAGCACCTCAGGGCTCTCTCCCAGCCAGGCCCACCGACCTTAAAATGCCAGTCTAATCCCTGCTGGTTGAAGGGGAAAAAAAAAAAACTCACAAAAATCAGCCACTCTTTTGTTTTTTGTTTTTTTCCCAGCCAATAGCTTTGGGGGAGTGTTGTCCCTCTGCATTCCCCTGTCTGTTCCTCTCTCTCTAGTCTTTCTCTGCAACCAAGGCTTCCTCCCCTCTGTGGCACCCAGGATCCATTTCTCCACCAAACCACATAACTCCACTACTACCTTCCCCATTGTGACCCCTTCTCTCCCTGTAGTTGTGGGATTGCTCTCTCTTCCTCTGGTTGATTTCTTGGATGTTCAGAATGATTTGATAGTTATCTAGTTGTATTTGAGGAATGAGAGGAGCCTAGGGTCTTCCTACTCTGCCACAATCTTATTTCTGAAGTAGGCAATATTGATAAGGAAGGAAAAGCTTGAGATATCACACTTCTGGATTTGATAGTACACTACAGGGTCGCCTGGGTGGCTCAGTAGTTAAGCGTCTGCCTTCGGCTCAGGTCATGATCCTGGAGTCCAGGGATGGAGCCCCACATCGGGCTCCCTGCTCAGTGGGAAGCCTGCTTCTCCCTCTCCCACTCCCCCTGCTTGTATTCCCTCTCTCTCTGTGTCTCTCTGTCAAATAAATAAATAAATAATCTTTGATAGTACACTACATAATAATCAAGACAGTACTTGCACAAAAGTAGACACATAGATAGGTCAGTACAACAGAATAAAATATCCAAATACAACTCCATACTTATATTGTCAATAATTCTATGACAAATGAGGCAAGAATATACACTGAGGAAAGTGTCCCTTCATTAAATGGTGCTGAGAAAACAAAACAGATACTTGGATAAGAATGAAATTTTCCCGCTTTCACACCATACACAAATGTAAACTCATAATGGGTGAAAGACTCAAATGTAAGATCTAAACCATAAAACTCTTAGAAGAAAACATAGGCAGTAAGTTCTTTGACATAAGTTTTATCAATCATTACTTCAATTTGTTTCCTCAGGAAATGACAACAAAAGCAAAAATAAACTGTTAGTACTAGATCAAACTAAAAGCTTTTGCACAACAAAAGAAACAATAAACATAATGAAAATTCACCTAGTGAATGGGAAAAGATATTTGCAAATGATATATCTGATAATGGATTAACATCCAAAATATGTAACAATCACATACAATTCAATATCAAAAAGTTAAATAACCTAATTAACAAATGGGCGGAACATCTGACTAGACATTTCCAAAAAAAGATTTGTGGATGGCCAACAGTCACAGAAAAAGATGCTAAACATCACTAATCAGTAGGGAAATTTATATCAAAACAGCAATAAGATGTCATCATATACCTGTCACAAGATTTATTATCAGATAGAATGGAAATATTGGCAAAGATGTGGAAAGGGAGCACTGTGAACTTTTGGTAGGAATATAAATTGGTACAGCCATTACTGAAAAATGTTTGAGGTTTCTCAAAAAGATAAAAATGGAATTACCATATTATGCAGTAATTCAAGTACTATGTATTTATCAGAAGAAAATGAAAACACAAATTCGAAAAGCGTATGTTCTCCTACGTTACCAGAGCATTATTTACATAGCCAAGATATGGAAGTAACATAAATGTCCAAAGATAGATAATGGATAAAGAACATATATATATATACACACACACACACATCTATATATACTATATAATATAACATATATATACACACACACACGTATATAAATATATATAGGTATATATACACACAGTTTATAAATATATATACATACATACTATATATAGATGTATATATTTTATGTATATACACATAAATAATGTATATGCTAGAAAATGGAATATATATATTATACTAGAGAGTGGAGATATATCTATATATATGGAAAACGGAATAATACTTAGCCATAAAAAAAATGAGATCTTGTCATTTGACATAACGTGGGTATACCTAATGGTACCATGCTAAGTGAAATAAATCATATAAAGAAAACCAAATACCATGTCATTTCACTTCTATGTGAAATCAAAAAATCCAAACTAACAAACAAAACAAAACAGAAATGATCTATAGATACAGAGAACAAACTGGTGGTTTTTATAGGAGATGTGTCTAGGGGAATAGATGAAATAGGTAAAGGGAATTAAAAAGTACAATCTTCCTTGTGGTATATATACACAATGGAATATT